GGTGACCATTTGTCATTTCAAGCAAAATGTTTCAACAATTATTATATGGATTGCCATGAACACTGGTGTGTGCCTGCTTAACATCAGCACATCAGTATGTTAACATGTTAATGTTAGCATTTAGCTCAAAGCACCACTGTGCCTAAGCACAGTGTCTCAAAGCTGTCAAAACTCTTAATCCTGTTCGATTATCGATGATGAACAGAATCCAGTTTTTGCTGTGAATCCCTGAACAAACCAAATTTTTGCAGTTTGTGTGAAAATTATAAAAGTACTGTCTGTGTAATTTGGTCTTAACAGTGAGTAATTCAGCAGCAGTGGTGTCACTGGAGGCTAAATCAGTGTGTTCTTCCTGGAGAGTTGTCATAGGCATGAAATAATCCTGAGTTCGGCTAAATGAGTGGCACCGTTTTAGCAGACGGATTAGCACCGGATCAGGTGGCTTTCTTTAAACAAGGAGATACATGAACCCCGGTGACACTTGGCATTGCACTCTGCTTTGTGCAGACCACATGTCAACAGCTGAAGTTGGTCAGGAGTGAGTCGCAATGTTTAGCCAACGTTTTATTCTCTATTCTTTTAATAAAGTGTGTGTCAGTGTGTGTGTCGGCTATGTTTGTGTGTTGAGGGAGTTGGGGCGTAAGGCGATTGGGGGCGCGTAATATCCCCAGCCTTCTCTACCCCCCCTCTCCTCTCCAACTTATTACCTTGATCTCAGGGTGTAATAATATCTCCTGCCTCTGGCTACGGGAAATGGCCACATGCATTATTCACACATGCTAAGATACTTATTGATGACTCCTTTATTTATATATTTCCTCAACACCAGAGTCATTTCTCACATTTTCTACCCCTTAGTTTTAACCCTCTGTTTTGACGTGAGCCTCGTCTTTTGAGCCTCACTCACTCTCGGCTTTCAAATGTGCTGTACTTCTTTGATATTCACTTAGTTCAAGATTTTGAAATGAGATACATCGGTGTGGAACCAGGGCTAATAATACATGTTGGTGGAGCCCCATTTATTAAATCTACCTTATTTGATATTAAAGATCATGGCTGCTCATTTTGTCATAGCTGTTTCCACTGGGGTATTACACAAGTGCACAGAAGTCCACAGAAAACATAACTCCTTTGAGGAAACTAGCGTGACATTGCCTTAGGACTCTAGGGCAAGTTTGTCCAATCTAATTTGTGTACATTCTCCAGCTATTTGCTTCCTTTTCAATCACGCTGTCGTTTTAAACGGAGCATATTCTCTTTTATGTTGATGCATGCCAAAGTGCAGTGCTCCTTGGTTTTTAGTGGGTTGTCTCTCTGAACTCACATTTCCTCTTTGCTTAGACCCATAGCCTCTGACATAGCAGCAGCAGGTGAGTCACATCTCTGGCCAAAAACTGTACCTTCAGGTGTGCAAGCGTTTGCATTGTTGTTGTTTTTTTCTTATTGAGAACCACTTTGACATTTAAAAACGTCTTACAAACGGAGGTAATTTTTTTTTTTTTTTTTTTTGCTTCTGCTCATTTTGCAACTCTGTTCGCCTCAAATACACACACACACACACACATTCAAAATGCAGGGCTTCTTATGTGTAGAGTTAAATTTGTACCTGTAATGTTACATTCCTAAAACGCATTCATGAACTGTCATCTTTAGAAATGCAGAAACAGTACATAGATCCAGTTTGGTTTTCCGTTTCCCCAAAAGTAGATTCTCATGCGGTTAGCTACAAAATGTAATGTTTGTTTTTACTTTTAGACGAACTGGGTTTTCATAAAATTCAGTTTTATTTGAAAGCTTTAGGAGGCTCATACTGCTTACCAGAGTTGTGTTTCCTGTCTACAACAGGAGGTGGTGAGAGCAAAGTCATACCGAAGTGAAAATTACACCTTGTTAGCAAAGCAGTAGCACCAATGTTAGCCCTCTGCAGGGCGTGCTATGTTTTGTTTTGAATTAGGTATAAACTGATCCGGCTTTTTCCTTCCCAATACCAATCCCAGTGCAGCAGCCCTGCCAATACCACCTCCTGATCTAATAATCTCTTTATTCCCTTCTTAATTGAAAAGTGTCACACCAATGACTGCAGTGAGTTAATGTAACCGATAGTGGATATAGTGAATTTTATAATGACAATGACAAAGAAACAGTGTTTATTTGCAAATCAGACACATCTCCAATAAGTCCTATCAGATAGTGGATCAGAAAATGTCAAATGTCAGTGTTGGCCATGATACTGATCAGGTGGATTGTATTGGTGCATCCGTAACTGAAATTGTTGTTTGTGCAGTCAGACGCACGTGAAATTAACGACTGAAAAACATACCTGAAACACCTCTATGAAACCTTTGGCATGACAAAAAATCATAATGCCCGCAAATATATAAAAAAGAACCAAGTTGAAAAGCACCATGCAGTACTTCCCTTTAAGTGAAAAAACTTCAGATTCATTTGTGTTTTATATCGTTGTCCTGCTTTTATTCGCAAGCAGGAAATGCCACCGACCATGTGGGATTTTGCGACGCAATAGAGAAAAAAAGAGAAAGTTACAGAAGAGGTCAGGTAGTTCAGAGGAAGGATTGGCGATGCAGAGGACGTATTCTGCCACTCCATATTTAATGCACTGGTAATGGTAACCCTGCCTATATTCTCTGCCTTACCACAGTCTTCCTGCCAGATACAGTGGGCTGCCCTGGCCTGTTGGTCTTGCACACATACACACACACACACACACACACACACACACACACACACACATACACACACACACACACGCACACACACACACACACAAACACACAAACACACACACACACACAAACACACAAACACACACACACAGCCCAAAATATCAGCTTTGGGCTGAAAAAGTAGTTTGGGCCAGTGACTGGCCTAAATAAGAGACCAGAGCATGATACATAAGCAATCAATGTTTGACCAAGGGAGTATTTTTAATTCCTCCTTCCTCTCTCACGTTCCTCTTTTTTTTTACCTCACTTTTCGTCAAGCCAACAGTTTTTTGTAGTATTAGAAATTTCAGTGCTTTGATGCTATATCATTGGTAAATATCATTAGTCTGTGATGTTCCGCGTGTTTCAGGGTTATTTTGTGACAAATAGCTGTGAATCACTTTTGTGAAATAACTTTCCCTCTTCAAATCTGACTGATCTTCTGTTTCAGTTTATGATTACTTTCAGTTCCCAGAATGGGGTGTGACAGACCAGAGAGAAATGCCTAAATGTGTTGCATCCTCTACATGTAGGTAGCAGAACTTAGCTAATAGGCTGATAATAGTCGGCTGAGGGTCAAAGTTTTTCCAGTCAGGTACAGGACTTGAGGTCTGTCCATGGTCAGAGAAACATTTTTCACTGAAACAAGGCCCACATCTTTGTTTCTCGCATGTTTCTCACCAATCGATACATTTCATTTTTTAAAAAGTGGTCATGGCGTGTCCACTTCCTGGTACGAAACTGGCATCAAGGCTGTCAAATAGTAACCATTCAATGCAAGATGCAACCACATACAAGTTTTTCACATCATTCATCATTGTTGCTGTTTGTTGTCATGACTTTATTTTCCAATAAAATAGCATGTGGCAGCTGACTGTAGAGTCTTAGATGTTGGTGTTTCCCATCAGCAGCACATAAACACAAAGAAACTCAACAGGCAGTGTCAGCCCAGTAGGACGTTCTGTTTTTGACTCAAACCACAATCATGGCTGCTAGTGGGGCTCTGAATACACGTCTGAGCACAACTATAACACAGTAGTCGGCTCAGGAGTAAAGAGGAGTTAGGAACAGGACTTCTGTGTGAATAACAGGGCTACCTGAATAAGAGGTTACTCTAAATAAAGTCCTTCTAAAGTTGCCCACAATCTTCTGTCTGGCTGCCTGTTTTATGTAAAGATGATATCAGAGCTGCATGGTAGCATATTCACGAAAACATTACATCTGTTAGAGTGTGGGGGGCCCAGAAGTGATGTAACCACATGGGGGACGTAGGTTTGAGGGCACTTACTGTAAGCGTAGCAGCTGTAGGAGTCTGCTCTTTCAACATCCGGATGTGAGCAAAGAGGTCAGAGAGTGTCTGGATGAGAGGATTCAAGGAGCATGCAGGAGTAAAAAAAGAGGAAAGATTTGTCACATTCTTTCCCTCTTTCATAGTGACCTCATCTAGTCATTATCTCGCTTGTCTTACCTGGCCACCTGCCAACACTGATGCTGGAGCCATCCAGCCAGCAGATTGGCCATTTCCAATCCCACCAGGGATGGGCAGATTGATAACTCACTAATCAATACTCTGATACCCAAACATTTGTTCATTTGTAATGTTCTATTTCACAACAGAGGCTCTTTTGTTTTTCTTAACATGGAGATGATTAATTGCAGCTGTTTTGTGAAATGATGGCTTATTTATCCATTAGAGATTAGATTAAGAATTCCCTATGAAAGTGTAAAAATACTTTTCCTGCACTTTGTTATTTGTTGTTTTCCTTTTGTTTAAATGTATTTTGTATTGAAGTTGTAAAGGTTGATTATATATATGCAGATTATATTGTTTTTAATGTATTACTTCAGTATTGTTATGATATAATTAATATTTAATTAATATCGTTGCATATAATACACACACACACACACACACACACACACACACACACACACACACACACACACACATTTTCTGTCCTTATTTCCTGTTTTTCTCTGTCTCTTGATCTCTTGTCTCTCTCACTTCTTCACTGTCTTCCTTTGAAATAAATTGTCTGCGCCTGAATGCGTGAGCTTTACTGTTAGCGATATGGTATTTGATTTGATTTTCCAGCTGGGAGCCTGGCAGTCTCTGTGAGGGCTACTCTGAGGGAGGACGAGCGAAGGAATGAATGGGAAACATGTTCGAATGAAGCTGTGTGTATGAATCCAAACGTGTGCCTGAGTTGTGTGTGTTTGTGTGTGTATGTGTGAGTGTCAACCCCTCCACTGACACTCTTCCCTCCTTCTCCACAGAGAGAAGTGCCTTCTTCCGCCGACCCCCGTGGCTGTTTGGCTCCATTGAAGCCACCTCTGCCTCTGTGCCTGTCCATGTCTGCTGGAGTTGCCAGCCACACTAGGAGCCCCAGGACTGCCAGGACTGCCAACCTCATCCACTGAGCCAGTCTCCACACCACTGACACCTCCCTGCTTCCCTCCTATCTACATCCATGCCATTCAGCCCTCCTCTGTGGAAGTCAACCAGTCCCCTCTCATCTGCAGACAGAGTCTGATACCGAAGACAGACAGCTTTTATCGGCTCCAGTGAGCGGAAGGAGATTGTCGCTTTGCTGTCCCCTCCACCACAGCCTACTCCACCTCATCCTTCTCCGTCTCTTCCTCTTTCTCCTCCTTCCTCCTTTCCTCCAGCCCTGCATCTTTTCATCATGGGCCAACTCAATCGATAATGTGTTTTGCTATTCATCTCATCTGACAGTTCAGCCGTGGAGCGAGGCGATAGAGAGAACTGGAGAGTGTGTGTGTGTTAGAGAGAGAGGACGAGAGATTGCAAAGCAAACCTCTGTGGCCGTCACCAGCCCAGGCCCTGGGTGACAGGCGGTGAAGGATTCCTATTACAGCCACAAACAGACTCTTAGGATGGGTCACAGGTGGTAGGCAAGTCCCAGGCCTCACAGGCTTCACCTCAGAATCAGAGCCCCAGGACAAAACCTCTTAAAACTGGCTTTTTCCCCATGTCATTTACTTATTCATTCTTCTCATTCGTCCCAGTGTCATTAGAAACATACAGACGCACACATAACTGCATTTGCTGGATATCTGTCGCTCTCAATCGCCCCTTTCTGCCTGGTTCAAAATGGCGGTGAATGTGACACCGATCCGGGACACAAAGTGGCTGACGTTGGAGGTTTGTCGGGAATTCCAGAGAGGAACGTGTTCTCGACCGGACAGCGAGTGCAAGTTCGCCCACCCTGCCAAGAGCTGTCAAGTGGAAAATGGCAGAGTCATTGCCTGTTTTGACTCACTCAAGGTGAGTAGGACAAACACCTGTGATATTCATTCATCTTCTTCTCTTTTTTTTTATTTATTTTTTTTATATCTTGCAGGGTTGGCGAGCGTTGTCTCACAACGTTGTAAGTTTTGTTTTGGGCTTTTACCAGATTCAGGCCCTGATGCAGAAAAGATCAGGAAAACCTTTGTCACTTGCAATGACCAAACTCCTCAGAGAACAATCTCCCTTAAGTTGCAAGCAAACAGCAGTGAATTTACTACTGAGTGAGACATATTTTCTCAATAGTAGCATGAAGTTAAGCCATGGCAAGGGGATGAATACATATCTGAAATAAAACTTTTTAGAGTGTGCGCGCGTGTGTGTGTGTGTGTGTGTGTGTGTGTGTGTTGGTAAGCTGAGACGTGGCTGTAATCACATTAACATCTGTGAATCAGACTCAGAGTTTCCCTTCACTAGCACACAACCTTTAGCGCAGAATTGTCCGTTGGCACATCGCAAAAGTTTCTGGGTGATCGTCACATCAACAGGCTGAGTGAGAAATATAGAAGTAGGACAGCATACAGAGTATTTCATGTTTGTATGTGAGTCTGCGAGTGTATGTCTGTGTGTGTGTTATTTTGAGGTCACGCAGCACAGTGGGGTGTTCTCAGAAGGCTCTGTAATTTACTGTCTATTTTTGCCCTGGCACTGAGACAACACACTCCCACTATGCAGCTCCTCTCTTTCTCTCGGTGGGTGGTGGGGTGATGGTGGTGGTGGTGGTGGTGGTGGTGGTGGTGTTTGGGGGGGGGGTGGGGTGTTTGGGGGGGGGGGGGCGATGAAAAAAGGGAGGGAAATAGAATGGACTGGGCCTAGAAGTTGTGATATAAAATAAAAAGTATTGCATTAACGGATTAATTACAGAACACTACATATTAATTGTGGCAAAAACTGTTCAGCTGATGCTTAAAAGCACAGCTGATAGTGTCAATAGACTAAAGTGTTTGATTTAAGTTTTGGTCAAAGACGTCAATAATAATTCATACTGAGTTAGAGTTTTGTGTGAGCGTTATTGCTGTTTGGATTATATTCATGGAGTAGGTTTTTGCCTGTCCAGGAAGAGCAACATTCTTCCACTGCACAGAAGTCACTGGGAAGTGTAGTGGTGAATGATAGGTGGACAGAGCACAGGAGTTTGACACTGGAGGCTGGGGTTTGTGTCATGAGTCTCACGTGTTTCTTAGGTTTGGGCGACAAAAACATTTTAATTAGACTTGGAGACAACAAATAGCGGCTCTTTGATGATGTTCTTAATGTCAGGCATTATGTTTGCCACTCTCACCATCTTAGCTTTGGGCATTAGCATGCAAACATCTGCAACTAAACACAAAGTACAGCTTAGCTGGATGGAAATGTCAATGGTTTTCCAGATATTTTGTCTTAAACGTCAGTATTCGACAAAGTCAGAATGGACTTTTTTAACTGTAACCAAGACCCTTTTCCTAACTTTAATCAAGTGAGTAGTACAAAAGTACAAGTACAAAATAATAATATATGAATCATTATAACACATTTCTTGCAAAATGTATTTGTTAGTATATAAACAAAGTCAGAAGTCTTCTTACTGCAACTAAAACTCTTTCAGAAGAGGAGAAGCTAAGATAAGAAAGAAAACAAATGGGATATAAGTAACACATTATCCATTATGCCTTCAGTTATAAAGGTACCGTATACACTTTACACAGTTGTGGATTCCCGGACACTGAGTACACATCAGGTCACACTATAAATCTACCAACAACAATGAGAGAGTGTGGAAAAGGTCATGAAGACAAGTATGTGTGCATGTGCATATGCAGAGTACAGTGTAAGTCACACACACAACATATGCACACACATTGCACAGACCTCACACTGCAGTATTTCCGCCTGCTATCTCATTATTCCAGATACTGTAAATGTGTTGGACACAGCGATATCAGTGAAGTCAATCTGGGTATTTTGGCTCAAGTGGGCACAATGATTCTGGATCCTACTCTTCTGTCTACCGTGTTGTGCACATGTCCTGTAATTTGTCTCCTATCTGATTGGCAAGCAGGGTGTTATCCAGTGTAACTGGAGACCGGCGCTGGAAGTCAGTCAAGCCAATCCGGGCCAGAGCTTACCTTACTGGTAAGCTGTGGGTTTATAACTGGGGGTGAGAGGAGGTGGGATTTCTTGTTAAGCCATGCACTGTGTTATTACGGTTATGGGCTGCTTGGTTCGGATGGTTGGGGTGGGTTTGGTTGGTACAGGTAAGACGGGCTGCGGGAGCACTGCATGGATCATGAAAATAGACAAGCAGACTGAGCCGGAGAGGGTGCAGCAGGGAATGTGCGAGGAAGCGTAGCACTATGCTTAGAGCCCTTCCCTGCTCTCAGTGCCAGGGCATTCCACAGTCTACCTCCCTTCCCTGCCTCCATGACAGAATGATAGATCTGCTTTATCTGCAGATGAATTCATAACACATAGCTAGGCATGGAGAAAGGGGCAAGGGGATAGGGAAGGACAGGCTGCAGGATGTGGAGAGAAAAAAAAGGGAGTAAAGGGATGGATTGTGGTACACGTGGCTTCGCACTCCTGGACAATTTGTCATACCACCCGGCCTTCATTCCTTTTGAATGCAGGCTGGCGAAGGAGGGGAGAGCCAGTAGCAGGAGAAATAGAAAGGCATTTGAGTAGCTTTCTTGCTTTTTCCATCTTTCTCTTTGTATTCAAATAGTCTTTCTCAGATTTAATAAACGCACTTTGTTCCTTTTCTGTTTTATTCTTAAACCACAGCCTCAAGTATTCTGGCCAGTTAGTCCATATCTGCGGATGTCTTTATTGTTCCATTTCTCTCATAAAAATTTCATTCAGTCATTCAGTATTATCTCAGAAAAGGCGTTAGTCAGGGGTGAATGTAGTGGAAAGTTCCATTTGATGGGTGGCGTAACAGAGGATGGAGTGATAGAGGCGACCAGGAAATGAGTCAGAGGCAGACTCTGTAGGATTGGCCAATATTACAGAGAAACTGACCCTTTCAGCCTGGAAGCACCACGGTAACAAAGAAAAGCAACCTTGCACAGATGTGAGGGCACAGTCAAGGTACACAGCACAAATTTCAAATTATGTGACATAGAGTTCATTTGCTCATTTACTTTTGTCAGGAGTGCAGCTGAAGATTTTTTTTTTTTCTTGATGGAACTGAATTGGTTCAGCTCTGATAGTTCAACCTCTGCGTTGGTTGTTTGTTCAAATTCTTAAAGCTGGGCTTTTTTGTTTTCCTGCAGCGACTTTTAGCTGCCTAAAGGTGTGTTTAGGCAAAACTCTAAACCTCGAACCTGATTTTTCCCCTCAAGTTGTTTGCATGAATTTTACTGCTGAACAGTGACTTTGTGCTTAGTCATCACAAACAACCAACATGTCTGCACAAAGGGCCGCTGTTGGTAAGCTAGCTACATTCGCGTCAAGCCTGTGTGTGTGAAGTGAGCTTGTGCCAGATCTCAACAGGAATTCCTCTTTTTCTGTTATTTTCCAACAGTCTCTCTCTCTTTTTTCCTCTAGTCTCTGTACATGTATTAAGTGGATCCAGAAAAACATGTTCAACTCCACACATGCCTTCGTCTCAGTTCACACTTCTAAGAGCAAACGGATGTCTTTAGCGCCCGCTTGAGTCCTTCCCATGACAGCGTATGCAATCGCACAATGTCTGAAATTCTCTTCACGCTTTGTCTGGTCTCATCTTAAGAATGACTCATAATGAATAATGATGTCCTCTCTCAGTAGCGCAGTGCTAATATTATTGGTAAGGAGATCTGGTGCATAAACTCTGGACCTCTGCTTCTGGACCATTGAATGTGGAAGTCACAGACAAACAACAGTTGCGTGTTCTTTTGGCTGCTTTTACAGGAATTCAGAAGGTTGTTGCTATTAGCAGCTGGAGACAAAGCTGGTTTCATTGGAAGTGAATAAAAAGAAAATCTGGGGGGGATTTAGGTTGACGAAGTAAAATAAACTCACCACTGGGCTGTGATGGGAAACAGGTGAGAGTGAGCCAAAAAGCCACAGGGCCTCAACTATAGTATGATGGACTGGGTAATGATGACCATGCTGAAATTGTCTGACAATGGGTTGACTATCTCATTAAGATTTTCATCCTTTTCTAAGGACATTTTGATATTTTTTCTCTGCCATAAAATCTTGTCATTGTTGAAATCCATTATAACTGTCCACAGCTACTGTTCTCTGTGAAACGAATAAAACTGGCATCTTCTTAACAGCCATATTTCAAGACTACAGGGGCTGTGCATTTAATACTGACAAGATTTTAGGTGGGTGAAAAACCTGCAAAATTTTTACACTGTTCAAGTTTACAGATTTTACAGAAGTTACACATTTGCTAATTAATTTTGTCTATGGGGAATATATTATATCAGAAATAGATAGGAGATTTGATTCCAGTTTTGAGGAGTGGTTGGTGCAATTGCAGCTTTCCTATCTACAAAGATTTTTCTTCTTGTGCTGATTATATTTAAGCCCTAAATGAAGATTGGTACTCAGTGTTTACATGCAGTGTAACAAGCCCACTGAGGATTTACCAATTTACTAGTTTCCCAGAAAACAACATTTGATGAAAAACTTCAAAGTTCTCCAGGATATAGATTAGTAGTGATTACTTTACATTTGTAAGGGGAATGCTTTGTGACAAGGCTGACATTAAAGGCGCTATATATACTGAAGATACATTTTCTCTTTTACTTTTTTCTGTGAAAGCAAGAGGTTTTTTGCATGGACTATTTATGCGGATCTTTTAAAATAAAAGGATTGGAGTGGCAGTTTGCTAATTTAACCAGTATTCAAACTCTGTGTCCCCCAGCCCATAATCAAGACCACATGTCAGAAAAAATTTTTGATTCAATTAGCACAATGATTTAAAATGCAAATACAAAGTAATAAAAAAATGTTCCCACTACAAAATTATTATGAGAACACGCTGCCATAAGCAGCTACAAGAGACC